GGAGCCCGGCTCCCAAGCCTCCCAGGCGCGAGCGCCCTGGCAGCAGAGCCGATGCCCGGGCTGTAAGGCCGCCCAGCCTTCTGGTGCATAGCATTGTGTCCCGGAGCATCCCCTTCCCGCGCCGCGTGGCTCCCGCGGGGCTCTATGGCTCCTCTGGGAGCTGTTGGACAGCGTTTCCTAGGCAGCGGAACCGACGCAGATCACGTGAGACCCTCACTTTCCAGAACAAAGGTTGGCTCTCAGGATGTGGTCACGTCTGCGTCGTCAAGGCAATAGCGTCGCCTTGCCTTGACGGCAGCTTGCCTTCTCGGCAGCTGCTGCGGTCTTGCGCCCCCGTGTGCCTGGAGTCAGAAACGGCCAAGGTTTATGCTTCCAAGTAGCCTGCACAAGAAGGCCAAGTCACATTACAGTGTGAATTTTTCAGGATGAATTATTCCGGGAGAGGCAGTGAACACCCAGAGAAGGAACCCTGGGCGTCTAACTCCTCTAGAAAAGATAGTGGAAATTAAATATATGGTGTGACGTCACATCAGAGCTATGGTTGTGTGGAACCAAGTAAATTAACTACCAGTGAAATTTCATCTACTTTGAATTGGAAAATTATTATAATAATCTACACTATAAATCTGAAGGCAGAGGGGTTTGCCAAACTTTAATCAACAAGATAAAAATGAAAAGATTTGGGGGCAGGGGAGCCATTAGGAAATTGTGATCTGGGGCTTAGTATGGAGCATGTGGAAGAATGGAGGAATCTGGCAGCCTCAGCCTTCTTGAAGTATATGGAAGTCACCAACAGTTGGAGTCATGCTCAAGGTCTTGTCCAGGATCCGAGGCTTTACCTTGACAAACTTGACCATCTCATCTGCAGAAAGGCAATTGTACTGGGCACCTCATGTACTTTAGAGGAGTGCACAGACATTGTGTGAGAGGGTTTTGTTCACAGTAATGTGATTTTATTTTGAGACACTTACGTGGGCAGAGAGGGGAGAACCAATAGTTGGGGAAAAGACTGAGGGAAAGTGAGGCTGCCAAAGCAGCTCTTACATTTTGCCTGGCTCTCTCCAAACACCTGCCACTTCTTGATCTCTCAGTGGATGGAGCTACTGAATTACAATCAACAAGGGACTGGTCCCTTGAGAATTGACCATTCTGTAGATATTAAGCCAGGCAACTCTGTATGAGAAAGACCACCTAGGAAAGCAAGGAGAAAGAGACTGCTGTACAGCCTCCTACCAGCTTCTCAAATATCACTTCTCCACCCCAGCTTTATTCAGGAACTGGATACCCAATGACTTGGATAAATCAGTGTCTGAATGCAGAGGATACTGAGGGCTGTGGTCTTCTGTGAACAAATTAAAGCATGATTCATTTGCCTTAGTTTCCAGAGGTGTGACTTGTACAAAGGAACAAGAACCCAAATGAACCTTTTTATTCCATGGCAAACGATACAGGTTTTTAAATGTACTTTGTTTAGAGCTAATGTCTTGCACTTAGGGGAAAAACCCTGCCTGATGGGTTTGAGCAGTCCTAAAAACAATCTTTAAAGTTCCAGAGAGCCAGAAACAAAGCCCAAGAGTAGTGCATGCTTCTTATGGACAGCTTCTAAATGTTCCCCCTCCCCTCTAACAATTTAGTTTGAAAGGAAGTTTGTTTTCAATGTAGCCTGGTCAGGAAGAAAAGCCAAAGAGATGATGATGAAAATGATTATAAATAACAATTATAATTTTGTTAATACCATCATATGTGTGTGTGTTTATATATATATACTAGAGGCCCGGTGCACAAAAATTTGTGCACTCAGGGGGAAGGGGGGGGGCTCAGCCTGTCCTGTGCCCTCTCGCAGTCTGGGACCCCTCGGGAGATAATGACCTGCTGGCTTAGTTAGGCCTGGTCCCCGGTGGCAGAGGGCAGGCCCAATCCCTACGTGCAGCCCCTGGTCGGGCTCAGAGCAGGGACGACTGGGGAGTTGGGGCACTGCCCCATCATGCACAGAGCAGGGCAGATTGGGAGGTTTCGATTCCACCCTCAGT